CCCCCCCCCTCCCCCTCCTTCCCCTTCCAGTTACCCAAAGTTTCACGGAGGAAAATAGGTTTACTAATTACTGACTGAGCCTCATTAGCTTGGGGATATTCGCAAAATGTGACCTTCCCGCGTCTTTTAACTTTTGCAGGCTTTAACTTTTTAAGTGTTGTAGGAATTTTAAAGATACAAGCAATGAATATCCCTGGCTAGCAGACTGGAAGAAAATGGGGACCTGAAGTCCTTTTTGTGTTAACATGTGCTCTTTGTTTGGCGTTATTGGTCCATCGTGGAGAGGAACATAATTGAATTTTGATAATTAATGAAAAACTTGAAGCGCCGTTTTTTATATAACTTTTAAGGCTATTACTCTTTTGTGTCTTCATAGTTAATTCTCTCTACCATTCATTAGCTCTCGGTATTCACGGTTTTGTGCCCTGTAGTCTGAAACACTTTATCGCATTCTCATTTTAGAGTTGGTTCTCTGAATCCGTTAGTATGCTTTTTCGCTTTATCTGCAAATGAAGCATTTTCCTTTGTCGATTTTCATCGGAGGCAGTATGGCAGACTTTCTAGCCCACTGCTTGATTTTTTGCTGTTGATGCATTCCTGTATGGGAGAAATTTTGCCATTTGGCAAGTGCAAAACGGTTTTTTTTTTTTTTTTTTTAAATCTGGATTTTAGCGATGTTTCGACTTGATTACGTGTCTTGTGCACTATTATCTGGATGATGATGCGGAAACCAATCGCTTGCGCAGCGATTTGCGTACATTCTGCCCAACAATCTTCTCTGCGGATGATGCCAGAACAGTGCAAGTAAGTGTGCATAATTGTAGTGCTCAATGGCCAGCCTTCCCTGTCTTCATCGACGCCTTTTTTATTTCGTTTTCTTTTTTTCAGATCTCTCATTTTCAAGTTAAAATTAATTTTTCAGGAACCATTTTTTTTTGGTTCACGCCTGTCTTAGTAATTCCTACTTGTTTTCAACATCACTTCGGCTAATTTTTGCCACTATTTATACAATTTTCGCATTTTTCCGGAACGAACGATATTATTAAGACGAGAGGGCATAAGAGGATTCTGCTTTCGCCCTCCGGCTAACCGTGCTGTTGATTTTGACCATTCTCTAACTCCGAACATAGTAAGTGGCATAATTTCAGGCTACAGAAATGATCGAGCAAGCACGCAACTTACCGCCTGGTCTGGCCCGAAAAGAACTTCTGGAAGAAGCTGTGAAACTGTTAAGAAGTAGTGTGCAAAAGCTTAAATTGCCATTGATTTGTGAGCTGCTATACGAAGGTTTGTTTTTTTTTGCCGGGTTATTCTATTTCCGTTTTGCCTGCGCAATTATAGCCTATTACAGCACTGCCTATGTAACATAATTTAGTTAATTATGTGCAAGGGATCGCTGATTTGGTGCTGGCACGTGCAGAAAAAGATGATCCAAAAATGCTGGCTCTTATTGCCTATAAAAATCGCCTGGAAGATTCAGAAGTATTCGCGCGAGAGGCAATAATGAAGAGGTTTGCTTAAGTTTATCCAGCTTTTATTGCTTGTCCTGCCTATTGTACCTCAAATAAAAGTTTTCATCGGCGGAGTTTTACAGGAAAGAAGCGTACAGATGCATTACCAGTACACTCGATCGCATTATGGTTGATGAGAGAAGCTTAGGCACCGGTGACCAACTCAATCCCTCAAAAGATATTGTAATTAGAAGTGTTTTTGACTCGAAAGATGAACTTGCACACGTAGCGGTTTTCAAGTGGCTTCTGGAACACGATTTCGTCAACGTTGTTCTGCAGGTTCCTCACATACTACAACTCATATAACTTATATATATTGGCATAAAATGCGGAACGGTCTACTTTCGAAATGGCTGGGGTTGTACCTTGTCCTAGGACCACTCACACGCGTATATCAGCACGGGCACCTCGACTTTCATCACGTGGCCACTGATGGTACTGAGGTGCAGGCAAATGCCCACCACGAAAACATGCCATTCTCTTTTCCGAATTTCCTGCCCATTGTTCTTACTTTTCAACATCAAATTTTCTTATCAGGGCTTACCTGATTATTCCTTTTTGTCACATTGGTAGCACTCATTGACACTCGAACAGTTGGGCCGTAGAAGGCCGAACCAAAATTGGACGGTCCAGGTAGGGACGCCGAAGAGGGTGAGATTGTCAAGCGGTTTTTTGCGGCCGTTGGTAGGCCGAACCATATCTTCTGAAGTAACGAGCCAAAGAAAATTCAGAACGGATGAACTCCTTAATTTGAAGTCAAGTGTTTGTTAGTAAACAAGCATCGCGTCCCGTCCGCGGATATTGCCTTGTGTCGCTGACGCGACGATATCATGCATGCTACCCTTTTTGTGGCATATCCCGTGTTTATTCTGATATGCCAGGCATTTTGCATTCTTTTGTCCTTGCTTTGATCTGTATTCGAGCATTTTTGTTTGTAGAACACATGGTCCCCTCGCGTCATGATTATCTGTAAATATTTCAAATTACAAATTTGCCCTTTATTTTAGAGCAAATCGCCTTATCTGGAAAGCTTTCTGCATCGTCGTGTTGAGGAAGGTGGTTCAAGCCGCTCGCTGGACCTTCTGTGGCGATTCCATGAGCGCAGCGGTGATCATCGAAAAGCTACGGATCTTCTTTTCGAACTTGCACAGCGTGAAACGTATTTTCCCATTCAGTGCTTTAATATTCTTTAGTTCTTTAATAGTTGCAAAAAATTTAGTTAAAAAATTTTTTTATGATTCTGGTACATGGGTTTTGTACATGGCTGAGATTTTGTATGAGGAAATTGAGGGCAAGCTGCTGAGGTCAAAAGGGATTGGCCGCAGTGACTATCACTTTTGCTTTCAGTGATAAGCTCAGCATTGACCGTCGTGTTGCATATCTGTCGCAGGCGGCGATGTGTGCTCGATCGGCCAGTTCGGAAGCAGATCCGGGCTCCAACATTCACGATTTGATAGTGGAGATAGGTGATAAGCTGGATGTTGCTCAAGTGCAGCTTGCAACCAAGTTAGTTCTTACACGCTTGCTATCGTTAAAACCGTAGAATCGATTTCTTGAGTACCTCTCGCTTTTTTTGTGCAAAAAAGATTTTTCCAGGTATCTATTGTTGTCACAACCACGAACTGAGCAAATACTTGCAGCCAGGAAAAAACTTAATAC